TCTAGTTCTTTTTCATTCAGTTATTCAGTTTACTATCAAACAAGATGAAGACATCCTGCAAATACTCAGATTTTAAGAGCTAGAACTAGTGAATTAAAATGTATTTATTGATTATCAACATAGTTGCAGTTCATTTTCTTTCAATTACTCGACTAATCAGTCCTGAATCAGTTCTTGGTAAAGTTTAAGTTGCAGATCTGTGAACAACAAAGCATCTGCAAACCGTCAAATATATCAATAAAGATACTTCAGGTTTGTTCCTCTTAGTTATATTTTCTAGATATATTCTCCTGACAACTGTTTTTATAACAGATTAATCTTTTCTGCAGTAATTTATCAAGAAAAAAACATTAACTGGTTTACAGACTAAACAATACATAGATGTAAATAAGTTAGTTGTAGCCCTTTTCTTTATTTATCTGTTGTTTACTCTGTTTGTTTTATCATTACATTCATTGTATCCTATCATTACTGACCAAAGACACATTTTCCCCGCAGAGAACAGCCGTTTCATCCTATGAAGCCTTTTTGTTTATATGTTCTTATTGATAAGTCCTGGTATGTAGGGCCACGTTGACTTTAGTGTTCCCCACAAGGTTCTGCGGGCCTTCACCCTACTTTTCTAAACAAACAGCTCCAGAAACAATCCAGTTCCAGCCAGTCGGAGCCTTCAAAGAGCGCTGATATACCGCTCTCCTCGTCCGCCCTTTATTTACCAAAGATTAAACCACATAGGGAAGGTTTATGTTGTGAGATTTCACAGAATACCTACAGTAAATAATGAGTAATGTAATGCTGAAGATGCACAGTGGGATCATGTGTGGATAGTTTGAGCTGTAGTCAGCAGGTGCTGGTTCCTCTGGCTGGGTTATAGGAAGCACAATGCTGAAGCTGCAGAAACCCAAAATGACAACCTGTGGAACCATTTACCAGGATGTGGTCAATGATTTCTAGAGGAAGTTTGGCCCTGGAGAATTTATAGGGAGGAACAAGAGTTTGTGTTTGTTCAGGGTTTGTGTTGGGTTTGAACCCAAGGGCACTCGTTGGCAAACAGCAAGTCCAGCAGCTCCAGGGAGGCTGGTGGAGCGGAAAAACTAGCAGTCGGTGTGGTACACAGAACAACAGAACAACAGAACAACAAAACAATAACGGGACGCAGCTAATGATTTTAATTACTGCTCAGTTATTTTCTCAATTAATCGTTTAAACATAAAAAAAGTGAATAAAGCCCAAGAGTGACCTCAAAATGCTTCTTTTGACCAACCGAAACTCTTTGGAGATAATTAACAATCGTACAAGTCAAAGAAAAGCAGCCAATCGTCACATTTAAGAGGCTGAAAGAGATTGTTTAGTATCTTCGCTTGAAGTGAAAATGCCTGAAACAAGTAATTTTATAATCTTTCTTCACTGACTAATCGTTGCAGCTTTATGTTACTTGTGCCGGCAGGTTCTGTGGTGCCAGGAATTTGAATAAGTTACTATTAGGGCTTAAATTATTGATTCAGTTGTTTGTTGAATGGTGAAAAATTCAGATTTTCCACAGCACAAGATGGCGTCTTCTAAATCGCCTCTCAGCAAACACAATGATATTCAGTTTACTATCGAACATGAGAGAGAAAAGCATCAGACCTTCAACTTTGGAGAAGCTGGCTTACCGTGCATTAATTCATCAGGATGTATTCTAGTTACAGCCGGATCTCTTATAATTTCTTCACATTTAGCTTATTATATTATTATTATTTCCCCTTTTTCTCCAGGTTTCGACTGCAGCTGCTGAGTAACCGTCTGTGGAGTAAACAGAGGTCGTCCCCAAGACTTTAACTTTTTAATGCATTAAGTTGGGACTGCTTTTTAACAACAACGATGGCTTTGAGCTCGTTCGACATCGACGCACCACGATGGGATCAGTCCACGTTTATGGGTCGACTGAAACACTTCTTCAACATCACAGACTGGCGAACGGCGATCTTACCCGACTCGCGCCTGGATGAAGCCAAAGCTTTAGTAGAAAGCTGCAGGTAAGAAGACGAACACTAAGATGAAGTTTAGAAGTCCAGAGTTTGTTTTTTTCCGTTCTGGGCTACTGTAGAAACACGGCGGCTCAACATGGATGGTAACGAAAACACAAGGATTCTTCCATTCAGGTGATTATACACTAATGTAAACATACCTATGACTATTATATTCAACTTCTGCCCATAGATCCTCCTAAATGTTGCACACTGGACCTTCAACCGAGTGTTATACAGCGTACATAAATAGATATTGCACACAGTATGTGGAATCTGTTCCCCAAAACAAAAAAAAAACTGGCTATGCAAGATGGTTTCTGCATGTAGCCGATGGTGTGAAACTGTCTCCTAACGTCTCCTCTTGAGTTAGTGTGTTCAATATGTGTGTTTTTGGTGCTATGTAGGGCAGGATCCGTCCCTCCCGGCACCACGGAGGAGCAGCTCCACTACGCTAAGAAGCTGTACGACTCGGCCTTCCACCCGGACACGGGAGACCGCATGAACCTCATCGGCCGCATGTCCTTCCAGGTCCCCGGAGGCATGGCCATCACCGGCTTCATGCTGCAGTTCTACAGGTACCGAATGAGAACGAGCTGATCACGTCATGCAGTTTCACAGAGGAAGCTTTAGAGGTTTCATAACTGTCTGTTTCTAGGACAGTTCCTGCTGTGGTGTTCTGGCAGTGGGTGAATCAGTCCTTCAACGCTCTGGTCAACTACACAAACCGTAACGCTGCCTCCCCCATCACTCCCAAGTAAGAATCTGATGTACATTTAAAGAAGGAACCATAATCCTCCTCTAGCTTCTCTCAGACCTGCACCTCAGTATCTAAATCTGATGACAACATTCATGTCGGACTAAGTTTCCTGAGTCACTAATAGTTACAACAACTGTCTTAGTTGGTGGGTAACATTTCCACCTCTCTTCCAACACATCTGAATGTTAATGACAGATTTACATAAAGGCAACAGCAGGAGGTTAAATACAGAGAATTTGACTCTTAAATTACAGTCAAATTTCATATTATCATTATTCATTCAACATGAGCTCACAGTCATACATCTCATATGAATGGGAAAAGGTGTTTGTGTGTGTCTGTAAACTGTGATAGAGGTAGACGGAGGATCTCAACCCCGTAACTATATTTTAGTAACACATAAACATAATTCATAGTGAGTTGAAAATTAAAATAATTATAACTTTTTCCAGCACAGCGACAAGTATCCAGCAGACAGTAGGCTCTGTAATGTTAGTTATAGTAGTTGGTGATAATTTAGCCCCCTAATAGCGCCGCCTATCAATGAACCTATTTAGAGCGCTCTGATTTATCATCTGTTTTACACAGAAAATAAAATCTATTTAATAAAATACAAAACACAGTTAATGAGCCAATTTTAAGTTGAGATGTTCTCACGTTGAGTTTGGACGTCTAATATAGATTGGTCTTATTATTTTTACCCCTCAGACCAACACGTCCTCCCATGTTTTGGGTTTTCTGGGTTTGAACGCTGTTTGTTGGGGTTAACCCACGTCTGAAATTGGCTTTTTTTGTCTCTCTCAGGCAGATTGGAGTCGCCTACATTACAGCAACCAGCACAGCATTAGCAACAGCAGTCGGACTCAACCTCTACACAAAGGTACAAACACTATTATTCACTGACCACTGAATGTTTACTGGTCCTGCACAAGGTTGACTGAGAGTTTAATGTTTTTAATGGATCTTTTCATGTTCAAAGGGAAAGGCAGATCATTACAGTGTGGGTTGTAAATGCGAATGAACAACATTTAATTTCCCTCCATGTTATTCGAAATACAGATTGTACTGTTTTTGGAGCAAAGTTTAACTCTCAACTACAATTTCAGACACTAATATTGTACTTTTTACTTCACTACATTTAATAAATTTAGTTACTAGTTACTCTGCAAATTCAAATTGATAAATAAATAAAATATAATAAACAAGTAAATGATGATGTATTTTTATAGGTAAAGATAAAATTAGAGACTACAGAGTAAATGAAGTCGTTAAAATGGACTCTATGCTTACCAGCTACAACTAGCTACATATTAATTCATCAATAATTATAATCCAGCCTCTAATCTGGTGATTGATGATGATTGATTTAATCATATTTGTATCAGGGATTGCATCTTTAACACGTGACGTTTTATTTGTTTAATGTGTTCACTTTCTCTTGCAGAAAGCTCCTCCTCTCGTGGCTCGCTGGGTCCCGTTTGCAGCGGTGGCGGCCGCCAACTGTGTCAACATTCCCATGATGAGGCAACAGTGAGTCCTGCTGTGTTACTGTTTGAACTGGTATATGTACGCGGAGGCGGAGGTTATGTTTGTATGTATTGTGCAGATTTTAATGTCGAGGTGTTAGACCCTGAAAGACTGACTTTTCCTCTACTGCCAACAAATTGTATTAACTGTATTAATCCTCTCATATTAATAACTCTCTCTCTGATTTCCTCTATTTGAAGCTGCAACGCGCTCTGTTTAGCTGTGTGATGAAATAATACTGCATGTATAGCAGCAAACTGTGGTGTAATAGCTGGTAGGGTTACAGGTAGTTGGGAGGCAGAACCATCTGATCCTACCAGCCTGGACACCACAGGCAGTATTATCTCATCACGCAGCTAAACAAAAGAAGTTTTCCGTGTTTCTCTGACGCTGTTCGGCAGACAAATGACGTCCCGCCAGCAGAGCTGCTGCTAACGATAGCTCAGCTTGTTTCTCTGATAAGATCCAGACATCTGACGACTAAAATCCTTCATCCAGTTAGAATATAGAGTTAAAAACGACCAAGATCTAAAGCATTTTTTTAAAAATGTGTCTTAAAACTGGATAAAAAGTAAATTTATGACAACCACAACACATGCCATTGACAGGCGACCTGTGAAACACATTGTAACCTGAATAAAATTACAGATTTCTCCGAGTTTGAACATTGTTGGAAACATTTGGGATAATCTAAGTACACAACTCAACTATATATATAACGTAGGTCTAGTGTTTACAGACATTGTAATGCAGAAATGTTACATATTATATCTTAAAAACCTTTGTGTCTTCATTGATCTGTGTGTTCTCTGCTGGTGAATCATTCAGGGAACTCGGTTACCTGTAAAATCAGCTCTTCCATCAATCACCTCACTATAGTTTCTGTTGTTGCCATGGTCACACAGCGAGCAAGTAGTCTGAACGCAGCGGTAAAGAGCTGTGCGTGTTCGCGGGAGCAGCAGCCGACCTATATATGTGCAGCATTGTTCCAGTAAATGTACTTTTTACTGTAATTTAGTCTCTTCTGTTGAACAGCCCACTTTCAGTTTTGTTGAAACATTTGAGGTTCACCCTGAAGTCGAAACATTCCCCAATAACCCCGATTTGTTTACAGCCAACCAGCAGGAGGGGGGCTGATGAGGAAACCACAACGATGTGTTTTCTGTTTCCGTTTCGTTTCTCTTCATCTTCGTTTTGTCTTCTGTCTTTTTTTTTTCAGGGAAATCCTGAACGGTATTGCTGTGACGGATGAAAATGGCAACAAACTGGGCCACTCTACGGTGAGAACTTGAGGACATTTAACTAGTTTTCCTTTACTGTTCATAGTCTTAAAATCCTCTTTTATCCCTCCTGTAGAAAGCAGCGGTTAAAGGAATCACTCAGGTGGTCGTCTCTCGGATCACCATGGCTGCACCGGGAATGAGTACGCAAAGATCTCTTATAAATATTATATCCAGTTCTTTTGAGTTTTCCTCTCTTCACTGTTTTCTTTTCTTCTGTCAGTCATCCTCCCCATCATCATGCAGAGGATGGAAAAATACAAGTTCATGCAGGTCAGATCTTTTTTTACCTTCATTAGCATCCTCTCGCTAAAGTCTCCAACATGAAAGTGTGCATCTGTCCTCAAGCTCTGTTCGTGTTTTCACAGAGAATCACGTATCTCCACGGACCGATTCAAGTGATGATGGTGGGAGCGTTGTAAGTAGAGAGGGCTCACGCAGGGATTGGAAAGTCCTCGGGAGTGTTTCATGGTCGGAAAAACTAACTTTTGTTCTTTTTCCTTATTTTTTAAAAATCTTTCTAAAGTTTGGTCTTCATGGTCCCTGCTGCCTGCTCCCTGTTCCCTCAGCGATGGTAACAAAAACCTGTTTCTATACTTTCTCCTGCTCATAGACTTATAAATCAGAATTGCACTCGTGTAACATTGTTGGACTCACAATAGGCAGTTTAAAAATCAAAATGGATGCAGCAGAACAAGAGATAACGTCTTTTATATTCCACACATTGTTTCTCCTTGTGAAAACCTGGTGCCTACATTACCCACAATGCTCCTCGACTACTGACAAAAGTACATATTTTATGAAGTTTTGTAGAAAAAGTTCTTAATGTTATTGTGTTATGTTGCAAATAATAAATTTCTGTCCTAATTATACTAGTAGATTTAGTTACTTTTAGTAACTCGTTAGTAATGTTACCCCACAATTGACCTTTCATAAGTCCCGCCCCTTTTTGTTCTATGCTCCAATGACAGTTGAGCAAGCCTCGGTCAGCACCACTGCCAACTTTCTCCTTTCTCGTACCCCAAATTTTCTTTCCCCGGGGTGGCGAAGTCATGACCCACCCTTTTGTGCATCTGTTTGGCTTGTACCCGTTGCCTTCACTGGTTGGTTACCTTTAGGCATGAGTAGTGAGATTGGATGGGGTAAGAATGTCAGGGTAAACCAATCAGAGGCAGAGTTGGGGCGGGTTTTCGGGGAAAAACAAATCTCTTCCCATACTTGGATATGCTGTGTGCTTGGCTCGCCTGTGTTGAAAAAACAACCTCATTTTGAAGATGGTTAAAAGATAAAAGCTGTGTGTGTGTGTGTGTGTGTGTGTGTGTGTGTGTGTGTGTGTGTGTGTGTGTGTGTGTGTGTGTGTGTGTGTGTGTGTGTGTGTGTGTGAGAAGAAAGGGTTTTTTCCCTGGCAGAAATATGCTGGTGGACACTGGGGAGTGCAGAGATGAAGCACTGTTGTGGTGAGAGAGAAAAAAAAACTGCTGCATGTGGGTTTTGTTTTTATCTTGATAATTTCAACAACTCAACATTAGTTTAACAAACGTGCAGTGGTTGTGTAAAGCAACAACAATGGACAAAGCTTTCCTACTTTTTTTCCACGTTTTACTCAAGTTATCATCAACTTCCTTCACTTCACCCAGTTCACTGTCTCCGCCCTCGGCCACACAAGAAGAGGAGACGGAGAACCTAGCGGGACCATAAATGACAACAAAGTTTTTTTTTTTCTTGGTTACCAGGGTGATGAGTCCCCTATCTAATATATGATTGGCTGCATGAAAAAGAAGGTTTTCCCACAAGCATACGCTCTCTCTCCTCTTTGGGAACAACAGACAAACACGTATTGCTAACAGTAGCTAACCATCAGCCAACTGTGGTTGTCTTTCCAACGTAGACGAGCACATATAACACATCCAAGTACAGAGAAGGAGAAAGTTAACTGAGGGTCTGACTTTAAAAAAAAAGGGTCAATTTGTTTATTCTGAAACATTCTGCATAAGCAAACAAACCAGCTTGTTTGATCAAACAAAGTACATTCTGACCGTGTTTCTCTTCTTTTCTTTCTGTCCACACGCTCCCGTCTCCCTAATCTCTCTCTCTGTCTGACTGTAACAGCTCGATGGCCGTGTCCAAGTTGGAGCCCGAGCTGAGAGACTCCATCGTATCTCAGTACGGAGACGCCGTACAACGTGTCTACTTCAACAAAGGCCTCTGAGGCGGGGAGGGCTGATTAGCATTATCTATTTGACACGCAAGAGCCGAATACATAAGCGTGTTATTTGTCTTCGTTTTCTAATCATTAGTCACAATGAAATGCTCTTTTTCCCTTTTTCGTCATCTTTTCGAATCAGTGCTTGTTGCTGGGAACTCTCTGGATTGTTGATCAATCATGTCGCTTTCTTTTAATACACGGGGTTACTGTGTACTCCTGTGGAGAAACCAAATGATCTCCTCTCAGGAACACGCACAATACTTTTAGCTACATTAACACTCTGTTAGTTTGTCCCCTCATGGTGCAACTCATCTGTTTTCATTGGCTGTTTGTTGGCGTGTCGGTGCTCTTACAGCTTCCTTACAATCTGTGCCTTCCCTACAAAGCGACAGGAACAACAACACTGCTGGGTTTTCTTTTTAACCAGTATTTTCTTCACTGTGAAACCAGAACAGTACTTCTATGCATGGGTTAACTCTAAAACGGTCATTCAGCGTGGTGTGGACGTAGGGAGATAAAGGTGGAGGATACTGCCCTCTTCTGCCAGAATGGAGGTAGATGTATTATGACTTGTTGGCACAGTTTATCTGAAAGGTTTGCCGATGGGATCTTTTCACTGTGTAAACTCGGACTTGTGCCACAATCCTCAGTATAAGCTGAAATAAAACCACATACATTTTTGAAATATAGTAACCTGAAGTGTTGTGTTTTTTTTTTTAAATATGTGATCAAATTTACTTGATGAAAAAAGGTTGTCAGGTTTAATATTTGATGAACTTTGTGGAAAACTCAGATGTTTAAGTAAAAGTACCACAATGTAAATAAACTCTACTTCAAGTAAAAGTGTGTAAAATTGCATTTAAAATCCTATATAAATAAAACTACAGTATAATCTGCACAAATGTCAAAAAGTACTTGTGCTAATTCTGCTGAAAAATTGCCTCTGATATTATAAACCTTTTTCACAGCAGGTATTTTGTCATGAAATAGTAGGGTAAACAGGTGTTACCAATGATACTAATTAAGGCTCTGTTCCATTTAGTGTGGCAGAGTCTTTCCAGTGAGCCAACAAGCACCCTGACTCTGTTTGACCAGAGTGGAGCGTAACCTTAATCAGTATCATTGGCTGTGTTTACCCTACTATTTTAATGTCAAACTGGCTGCTGTGAAAAAGGGTCTATTAGAGTGTTAATACTGATGTTTTGATGTCCAACTGTTTACTGCTGTAGTTGGTCGAGGTGGAGCTCGTATGAACTACTTTATATACAGTTTGGTAATTTATTACAGTGGTTCCCAACCTAGGGGGCCGGGCCCTTCCAGAGGGTCTCAGGTAAATGTGAGGGGTCTGAGGGGAAAGAAAACAGAAAACAAACAGCTCTGCTACATAAATGTATATTTATTTTATTTCTCTGTAATCTGTGCTTTTATTCTATAATTGTATTATATAATTACCTCAAACAATTACTCTGACAAGTATATATAAATATAAAGACAGCTCTTTGTAAGAGGTCAAAAAGTGCAATATTATTAACTTCTGAGGTGTGGAGTGGAAGTATTCATTAGCACAATATGGAAACACTCAAGTGAAGTTTAACTACTTTAAAACTGTTCTGTAAACGTACGATTCTCTGCAGACAGAATGAGGAAAAACAGTCTGACAGATTTACGTGAGTCAGACCAGACCGGATATTTCAGAAGCAGCAATTTTCCAACAATAAACCGTCTTCCTATTTCTGTGCACGCATTGTTTATGAACAACTGAACTTCTGCATTAGTTAAAATCAGAGGTGGAAGACGTATTCAGAGCCTTTTACTTCAGTAAAAACTACTAATAACACTAAATAGGTTAAAACCCTGCATTAAAAGTATGTAAATATTATCAAAAGTACTTAAAGTATTAAAAGTAATAATTCTGTAATATGTTTATTTTTTATTAATATTACTGCTGCATTGATGTGTATGTTGGATCTTACTGCTGTTTATGGTTGAGCTCATTTTACTTTATATACCGTAATGCATCGTATTTTATGTTATTTTATGTTTGTAGCATCGCTGTCCTGATACAACCACAGATGTCTGGTACAGGAGAATAGTTTATTTATCTCAAGAAACCGCAGAAGTGACACTTAATCCTTCAGTTTATCAGATCATTTGTAATTATTGGTGGTTTTCACTGGACAGAAACAGGAAAATATAATCTCAATAGTAACTAAAGCTGTCAGACAAACGTAATGGAGTAAAAAGTTACATAAAATGGAAAAACTCAAGTTCAAGTGTACTTAAAGGTCCAGTGTGTACGGTGGCATCTAGTGATGTAGTTGCAACTCCCTCACTTCACCCTCCCTTTTGAGATAAAATATGGTGGCTGTGAAACATTTGGTTGGTCCATTCTGGGCTCCTGTAGATAAAGCGGTTCCTTCTAAAGAAACTTATTTATTTACTGATTTTAAGGTGATTTTATATTTAAAAAAATATTATATTCTGCCAACAGATCCTAAATGTTACACTCTGGACCTGCAGAACTTCAGTGAATATACTAATACAGTTTTTCTCAATTGCTAAAACACTAAAACCCATTGGCTGAACTCATTTAGCTAATTGTGCAGTCTGTCAATACCTTAAACCTTTTCACATGGTAAAACACAATTTGCAGATCTCACTTAGACTTTTCAGCAGAACTCTAAACCCATTCTGCACTCTAATGCACATGTCATCCATACTGGTAAACACAAGTGACAACAATCAAACACAAATAGAGAACACATGTCACTGATTAAACACAAACACTCAAAATTGATTTCACTTGTTTCAAATCGTGTGACACAACCAATATAAGATAGTTCAGAGAGCAAACAGGTTGTTGAAGGTGGGACGGAGAAAGTCTAAGAATGGATGGAAGAAACAATGACAAGAAGAAGCACATTGATCACATGTTTACTGATTTTTGTATTGTATACTGTAGTACAGTGCATTGTAGGCTGTATACTGTACAATAAACAAATTGTCTGGCCCTGAACATTGTGCTTTCCATTTGTTTACAGTACTGACTGCTCAATAGATTTTGACTGGTTGCAGGTTCATATCAACAAAGAACAAGAATTACAGTATCACAGAAACCAAGGGCAAGTTTGTGAGATGCTGGGTACAGTACTGTACATATAGGGGTACAAGGAGGAGGAAGAACAACAAAAATTGCAAAGAGCAAAGCAGAATATAATTTCTGATCAATTTTGAGCTACTATGATAGAACACGTTTTCATTCATCAAAAGACAATGACGGAAAATATTAAATTTGTTTTGAGATTAACAATGTCCTTCTCCCTGAGAACTATATGTTTTGAACGTGTTTTCTATTTTTTGGTGTATTGTTTACTGACTGCTTGATAGTGTAAATCATTTTGATCGCTTTGTTTATGATTTGAGAGCAGTGTTTGGTTTTGAGCACAGGTAAATCTGTTTTGTCGGAGGTTTTGTAAATAGAGCTTGAAGCTGAGGGTTTGTGTTTAATGTTTTCAGAAAATGGAACAAGGTTTCAGAAATTGTGTTTTAGCAATTGAGAAAAACTGTAATAACAAACATACGACCTTTTGGCCCTCAGAGGGAGGACGCAGCGCCCCCTGACGGCCCAGCTGGTACCGCCGGTGGGGGGTGGGGGGGGGAGGAGCCGGGAGGGCAGCTTTATAAAACCGCCTTGATCCTGGAAACTAAAACAGTCCCGAAAGACAGACAGCTGCTCACACCAGCCGAGACACCTCCGGAAGACCACCCGAGCACACAGTGAAACCGCACCTTCACACCGGGGCTGAGCGAGCCGACCGTCCGGTGCTGCTGACGTCGCCTGTCGGTTTAAAAAAAAAAAAAAAAAAAGGACAGAAAAAAGCGGAGGGGGGGACACTGCTGCTGCTGCCTGTCTGTGGACCTACACTGCAACGCATCTGCGCAGCAAACAGCAACGAAGAAAGGCTGATAAAAAAAACCGAACATCGCATCAGTGTTTCTAAAAATGCCGTTTTCCGTTAACGGCATCCTTTGCACGCTCGCGCTGCTGCTCCTGTGGCGGGCGGAGGAGCTCGCGGAGGCGTGCAGCTGCGCTCCGGTACATCCGCAACAGGCGTTCTGCAACGCCGATGTAGGTGAGTAACAGCACCGGGGACTGTTGTTGTTGTTGTTGTTGTTGTTGTTGTTTGTCAGGCTTGCTGCACGTCTGACTGGGAGCTACGGCGGCGGTTCGCGGCCGCTCTCTGCCCGCCTCCGGTGCGTGCTGAACGGGCTCACAGAGGCTTCTGGAAACCGCTGGTGAGCCTGGAGGTGCAAGGGTGTTGCTCCTCAAGGCCATGGCCCGACAGAGACACACGCAGGTCCCATTGTCGGGTTTTGTCACGTCATGGTGACACGCATAGACCTTTTTTATTTTTATTTTTTTTAAATGCCAAAGTGATTTGGGAAGCAAAGGAATATATGCAAAAGAAAAGATGCAAGAGAAGATGTTTAGGTGTCATGGAGGCATGCTTTGTAGGGACACACACACCCACAAACAAAAAACGCATGCTCATTTTGAGCTAAAGTCTCCATAACATTCATTTTAAGTAGTGTAAAGTGCACCTGTGTCTCTCACTGAGGAGTTAATAATGACCTTTACAGTGATTATCTCTGACTGCACTGTACAGTCCTCTACAAGCCACAATAAGAGGGCTAGGTTGTTGTATCTCAGGGTGTGTGTGTGTGTGTGTGTGTGTGTGTGTGCACTGTGTTTGTTGTAATGTACAGGAAGCAGTCTGGGCCACCGTCGCTGTACATAATGTCTCAGGTCTGGGAGCAGAGTTTGTGTGTTTACCAGGATTCACCCCTCAGCAGCTCTGGGACGAGAAGCAGCGTCGCCTGGCTTCTGCAGGGCAACGTGGCACAAGAGAGGAAAAGACACAAGGAGGGAAAGAGCGGAGAGGAGGACAAGGGATGGAGAATGTGAAGAGAAATTTAGAGGGGGGGGGGTTGAATCTCAACCACAGAATATGTCACACCACGAGCTTTCCTCCTCTTTTTTTTTTTTTTTTTTAATTTCCATTCCTGCCCTGTTTCTTCCTGTGAGGGGGTGGTGCTGGGAGGAATTACAGGAATGCTGCTGGGGTTTTCCCAACTTTTGCTCCGGTGTTACACAGGACACACACACACACACACACACACACACACACACACACACACACACACACACACTTCCAAAGCCCAAATAGACACTTCAGGCCTGCTGCCATGCATGGTGGACTCTCTCTCTCTCTCACACACACACACACACACACACACACACACACACACTCCCGCTACATATGACATCTGGCTGACAGCTCAGGGTGTGTTTTTTTGGGGGGAAAAGGCAATAAAAGTCACGGTCAAAGTTAAAATATGCATGGTATCCTTGAGAATGAGAAACTCCAAGACCACACTACTCTGGCTCCATCTTTTCTTCCTTCTTTTGCCTCCTTATTCACACGCTTCCACATGCATGTATGTGTGTGTGTGTGTGTGTGTGTGTGTGTGTGTTGGGGATAAGATGTATATCTGTGCAATTTCTTATTGCAAAATGACAGCTCTATTTTCAGGTGTGACTCAATCTTTCACTGAGCTGGCAGGTCTTAGAAACGGGCTGTCTCTCAGCGTGTTTGTGTTTAGTGTCGCTCGTGTTGTTTTTAAAGGGAGTATGACTCAATATGGCTTTGTCCTGCTGAGGGGGGAGGATGCACGTTAAAGGTTGCGCAAACCACTAAACGGCGACAGTGGTCGATGTCATTGTTCGGGCCTGAGGATGAGACCTTTTTGGCTGTGGTGGATCTGCTGGGAGAAACACCCAGATAAGACGCTGCACAGGCTGAGAGAGGAGGAGGAGGAGGAGCAGGGCTGAAATGGGTTTTGCAGGCTTGCAACGAGCAGAGAATCAGAATAGGGTTGGTTGTCTGGTTGCCCAGAATGTGCATGTAGGCAACAACAAAGTGACATTGTCAACAGTTTTGTGGTCTGAGAATTGATCTTTGTTTTTTTTTTTGGGTGAAATGGGATCCCACTCGCGTGTTCACACTCATACTCCACATGCAGGGACAGAGCACCAGTGTGTGTGTGTGTGTGTGTGTGTGTGTGTGTGTGTGGTCACCTTCTGTTTTCCATACTAAATGATGCTCCAGGTCAGCCACAACCCGTAAAGTTCAAGCAGTGTCATGCACTTACCTCGCACACGCACACACACACACACACACACACACACACACACACACACACACACACACACACACACACACACAAATATGTTCATGTGAAAAGAGACAAACATCCTTCTTTCATATAAATCTGTTTCCCACAAAGGGGAACTTCCCCAGCAGCCCTGCCCAGTCACACTGTCCTGAGGCTGGGCGGTGAGGCAGACCAGAGTCACCTTGCTGTCTGCCGGAGTGGACACGCAACAACACACGCACGCTGACTGTACACGTCTCCATTTATAGAAACATAGATGTGTTTTTCTTCATAAAACGCACTTAACACGCATCATAAGAACAACCAGAGTTGAACCCTGTGATGCAAAACAAATAAATCCAACATGTCTTGGATGATATTTGAATACTTGATTAAATTTTAGAGTAGAAACATTTGGATAACATTATATTCACCAACATTTGTATTTATATTCTACCTTTTTTAGAAGGGTCCCTCATCTATGGCTCATAACGAGTTGTCACAGAGGCTGAAATATTGCCCAGTTGATAAATTAACATACACTTCAAACAGTAAACTTGGATCCATCACCCAACTGCTGTTCCCCTCAGCTCTATAAGCATTTTTCAGCTCATTGTTTTGGTTTTCTGGCCCACATTTTGGTTCAGTCTCACTCAGTCAGCAGCAGCAGGCAGCAGTTTTTAGTCAAAGCTCTAAAACTAAAACTAAAGAAACCGATATTATCACAGGAGCTGGTGGAGACAAAAATATATATACAAATAATCGCATAATGCTTTTGTTTGGGACTGTTGTGAGCTAAAATGCCTGATTTTACAGAAGCTAAAAACATTGGAATACATGTTCTTTACATTTAAGTTGCAGAACGCAGTTAAAATTGCAAAAATAGTTGCATTTTCTTTTGTGTGTCTTTTTTAAAAAAGAAAAATCAAAGGCATCTTGTTCCAGTGACAATGAAATCACTTGTAGTTTGGTGACATATGGCTCAATGTTTTGCGCAGGGGACTGTTGTGATTGGTGAAACTCACAGGATACTACAATGATTGATGATGGTTTCATTGTTGTTATCAACAGTATTAACAGTCCATCAACTAAAAATGGCAGTCAGCTTCTCAAATGTGAGAATTTTGCTGCTTTTTATGTCAGATTGAATACTTTTGTGTTTTAGACCGTTATTTGGACCAAACTAGAAAAGCAATTTGAAGATTTCTGGCCCAAAAATGTTTTAAATCACCTGATTAATCATTAATGAAAATGGCTGCAGCCCTATAATGCACAAATAACAATACAGTATATCAAAGTTGAAACTAAGGAACAAGTATGCACAAAAAGCCACTATTAGTCAATAATATTACCCTGTAGTTGTTGATCTGACTCTTCCGCTCTTATCAGCTGGGTTGATGTCATTGTATCTTTTTATATAGTGACAGCAGTGCAGCTCATCATAAAGACCTCACAAAGGAAACCAGAAGCTTTCATCTTTTGCTGCACAGGTCTTCATACAGATGTTGCCAGTAGTCACGAGGCTGCCTGAGTTGTGTTTGAGGGCAGTTTTTTTTTGCTGCTGGTCAAATGACAGACGGTTAAACAGACGGCCCACATACGCCTGGAGCTGCGCAAACCACACCAAGAAAGTCAGGGACGATTTGGTGGTCACTGGAGTATGAAAAAAGAAATGGATAGTCATGCGGTGGATTGAACGGGGGGGGCTGAGGATGTGGTGTGTTTGCGTTCGTATGGGGTTTGCATGGAAAACATTGCGTAGTGCAACTGATACGCATGTATAAGTCATTAGACGTCGTGCTGGTCGGAAGGGTAAGGGAGCAGTCAAAATGTGGGTCAGTTGGTGGTTTATAGTGGGGGGGCTCCTGGCTGCTGATTGACTGCTGATCACGGCGACTTTAGGATCAACCTGCGGTGAAAGTCGGCCGCCTGCAGGCCCCCGGTAGTCGTGCTGTTTTAGCATCACGCTGTGCAGTCTGCAGCCTCCGCAACACGCTGTTTAGACTGCACAGGATCATCCGCTCTGGCTTTATTGCAGGGAAACTGAGAAGTAAACATGTCTGCAACACCAAGGTGAAGACAGATAAGCTCCCATAACAGCAATCCATTGTGAATAACAGCGTAATTTCCCCTCAGTATTGTGTCCTGCTGCTGATTCTTTGCTCATTAGTTTGTGGCTCAGAATGAGGTCAGGAAATGAGAGCGGAAAAACTGAGAGGAATGCAGGAGAGAGTGCCAGCCAGGTATACTGCTGTGTGTGTTTATATGTGTGTGTGTATGTGTGTGTGTGTTTATGTGTGTACTCTGGCTGCTGCTGCGTATTTGCATAAGCATCGGAGTGGAACTAAAATGCAGACGTTTTCTTGTGAGGAGCTGGGATTGGTTATAAAGCGATGTTATCAGTGCTGATAGCCGGTTCCTCTTCGCATCCTGAGCCGTACGTCACCAAACTACTAGAGATTGTAGTCCCACTGGAACAAGTTGCCTTCAATTTATAATTAAATATACAAAAAAAAAAACGCACAAAGCACTTTGTTTTAGAAAACCTGCTGTGGAAGATTTAAACAATCTCTAAACTCCTGGAGGAACTGACTTTAGCATCTAAATGTTCCACTGTGTTGAGCACTAACTGACTGTGTGCTGTTTGATGTTAGCAGGTTAATGAACACAGTGGATTCATCAGACCTTTACTCTGAAAAGCTGTGTGAGTTAGTAATTCTCCATCCATTGTCAACATTGAAATATGGATTAGAGCAGCTTTAACATGGTAGAAAACATAATACTAATATTCAGACTTAATCAAATTTAGTCTTTCTTGCTGTGTTTTATAGTGGAGGCGGTTCCTGTCACCTTAAATGAAGACCAACTCCGCTAATTGTGCAAAATAATAGCACATAGCCGAGGCGCTGTCTCACTCAGCAAATGCAGTATAATTAACTGCTGTGACTGTTCAGATCGTTTCCTACTAACTTAATTTATCACAGAATGGATGAGATGCATCAGGTTGTGGATGATTTACCATTCGAAACAAAAGGGAAAAGCCTGATAGTGCTAGTAAACACCAATCCTAACAGGATGGTACCAGAACATGAATGTTTTGATAGTTTAATTATTTAACTCATTTATAAAAACACAAATACCAAAGATTTACTCGTCCCAGTTTCTTAAATCTGAGCATTTCCTCTGTTGCATGCCGTCATAAATTGAATATTTGGGGCTTTTGGTTAAATGGCGGGCAAACAAGAAGTATGAATTACAATGTATTTGTAGTTTCATGTGCAGGAAAGCGTCTTGAGGGGGGGGTGAAAAGGAAGTAGTAAGGGAAGGAGCAGAAGAACGAGAGACGCTATTAACTCTGGGAGCCATGAACCCCCCATATTTGTGTCTGCTCCAAGCCATAAACTGAACCCAAGGGTGTAAGAGCCACAGCAGTCAACAGTGTGTGTGTGTGTGTGTGTGTGTGTGTGTGTGTGTGTGTGTTTATCTATGTGTACGTGTCCTCTGTTTCTGCTTATTTTATGTTTTTTTTCTTCTCTATTGCTCATATTTTCCATTCTGAATAAATGCCCTAAGCATAGCTGAAGCTTGATGTAGTCAGTCAGGCCATTAAAAAAAAACACACACACACACACGGTGAGAAACATGCCTCTGGCTCACTATTTCTCTGTATATCAACTTTCAAGTTGTATTCTTATTCCTTAATTCTGGTCCTTTGACGGTTTCCTGGTCATGTTTGGAGGCAGCGAGGTTTGTTCTGCAGGCCAAGTCAGTTTATGTGTCTGGCCCTCATGCAGCTTTGAGCCCAGTGGAAACCTTCAGTTGGGTTTTCATTGACGGGGGCTACTGTAGATGCTGAATTTGAGCTACTCCGGCTCTTTTTTTATTTTTTTATTGTCAGTGCTTGAGCCTCAGTGTGGTATGTGACTTGAAGCAGCCTCGGTGAACAAGAATCTGATGTTTCAGGATGAACAACTATCAGTGGAATCACGTCCTGGCATTATGATCATATCTTTACACTGGAAGTCGAGTATTCACACGTATTTTGATAATTGATTCATCGTTTTAAGCAAAAAAGCCAAATATTGTGCAGTGTCAGTTTCTCTCATGTGAGAATGTGCTGCTTTCCTCTGTTTAATATTATTTTAAACAGAATATCTGTGTTTTTTTAACTTTTATCTGATATTTTATGGATCAAACAATCTTTAAAATAAAATAATCGTTAGTTGCTACGTATGTTGTTATAATTGTATATTTTTTCATTCTTTCATTTAAGTTAATGATTCTAATATAATTATAGTTACTTTGGAACACAGTTATTTGCATTTATCATCAGTTTGATCCTTCAATTTGTGATTTTACCAACATTAGTATTTCTACCCCCACTATGTATGTAGGTGGACAGCTATGCAGCAGTTGGCCTTCAAAGTTGGAAGCAATTGCAAAGCTCTGGGTACAGTTTCATATAGCAGATTCAACGTATGATTACCATGTCATGTAAATAATAAGAATCCATAAAAAAAGAGTTGCACCAAAGGTATTGTAAAATGAGTTTGTACAATAACAAAGAAACTGGATTCGCAAAAGTAGATTATCTGTTAAAATAAGTTATTGTGTTTCTTCTTTCACCAGTTAAAGACAATCAGGTTCAGGGTACTTTACCGTGTTTTACGTGTATGTGGGTTTTGGTTTCCAGCGAAAGGCAAGGCATTGTTCTCGACAAAATATTTTAGAAACAACTCCGAAAATAGACACGATAAAAGATGGTGCTCACCCGGTAGAAGTAGCACATTCTTTTGTGGCCTTTTGCTGTCTGTCATCCCCTTTCCTGTCTATCTTGAGCAATCCTGTCAAATAAAGGCAAAAATATTTAGAGAAATTTATAAATAACAGATAAAAATGTTCCAGACCAGAAAATCAGGGTTTATAAAACAAGAAAGAACAAATAAAAAACATATAAACTCTTGTGCCATGTTGCCACAACTTGTTCATTTGAGTGATAGCTGCTGATAACGAAGCTATTTTTTTACACAGCTTCGCTCTACATCTTAAATGTTTGTCCAGAAGGAAGAAGCTGAAATTCACTGTGGTTAGGAGTTAATTTATCCTCGCTGTACGCTGGGTTTAGCTTTGACTCACCAATCTGTTCTTTAGAGATCGGTTTCCAGACCATGACACCAAAGAAGAAGATAAAACTGAGTCAATAACAGAACAATAGAATAAGGTCATCATGTTTTTCCAATGTGGAAATAGGATAGTTTGCTCAAACAAAACAAAGGCTGCTGCTTCCTTTAGCACACAAGCTCACAGTTTCCTTAAAGGTTCAGTTTTGAGTCAATAATTGTCCTAATTAATTGTTTAAAGTCCACAAGAGTAAAAGTAAAAAGAGTAAACAGTTACCCCAACAATAAATTCGACAGATAACTTACAATGTTGTATTAGCAAAGCAGCTCCAGACAGCTAACATAGTGGCTAGCTTTCCATAAAGCTGATCATTCAGCTGATCAAATCAATAAAAGCTTAATCCACATTTAACAACCACAGAAGAGCAGTAATATAAGGCGTACTTACAGACAATTCTCCAATGAGGGCCTTTGGGAAGAAGATATAAAAGATGTCTGTCAACATTTGCTTTGTGACAGATTACACAAAATGGCGGATGTAACAATGTCAGTTGAGCTGCTGCGGAATTCCACCAGTGGTGGTTGCTACTAGCAACAGAATGTTCACTGCGGGGTTGCCCCCGACTACAGAGCTTCCTAGCCAGTTGTTAAATAAAGCACGTTTATAATTTAAAGATTTAAATATATAGATTTTAAGAGCCGTTAAATGATGAAGGAAAAAAAGCGATAAGGAATCTGAACCAGGAGACTGAACATTTAGGTAATTTATTTTAACACAGTAAAACATCACACAGGTCTTGTTGTTGAAAACACGGAATAAATAACGTCCAACTTCACAAACTCAAAAACTGGCTGATAACGTTATCAGTTACTCACAAATTAACTCGCTACAAACTCGCTCCTCTTCCCCCGTTTGTCGCCGCCTGAACCCGCCGTATCTTCACCCCCAGGGTCATAATAGTCCTGTTCGGAGCCGCTGTAAGTCAGCTGGCCTCTGGTGACGGTGATACTGTTTCTAAACTTATCTTCTGTATTTCAGTTTCTTGTATATATGTGTGTCTGCCATGGGCTAATATCAGCTGATATATTGGCTTGGGTGATTTATTGGTTCATGTGAGCAGCCTCTGTAATTTCAGTTTCCAAAGAACACCTTGTTGACATTTCTGCATCCTTTTATTAGAAATGGTGTTGTCTCTCTCTCTCGCATCTGCTTTCTTTCTGTCATTTGAGTGTTTGGGACAGTGTGATCTGACGCCATGTTCTTATGTTTCCAGTGATCCGAGCAAAGGTGGTGGGGGAGAGAGAGGTGGATTCTGGGAATGATATCTATGGAAACCCCATCAAGAGGATCCAGTATGATGTCAAACAGATCAAGGTAAGAATAAACTGATCAAATTTGAAGCCTTAACGTAGAATATCCACCAGATGCCTCCTTTAGTCAAAAGGGTTTGATGCTCAGACTTCCACTCCGACCTTTGACCCCCGTGGATGTGGTTTTGTTCCAGATGTTCAAGGGGCCTAACGAGGACATCGAGGCTGTCTTCACTGCTCCTGTGTCAGCAGTCTGTGGAGTAACCCTGGACGCCAACGGCAAGAAGGAGTACTTGATCTCAGGTGTGTGTTATTAGATTTTATGTCCGTTTTTGTCTGCAATGAAAGCAACAAGTTTAATGATTGTCCAGGTGGTCACTTTAACCGTTGGCTAGCAACATTAATCCAAAGATTTGTTTTTGTGGCAAGTCAGCAGTGGCTCAGGGTAGCTTCTGATGGGCAATTTTTGACAAATTATATCTTAAATGAATAATTGACTTATCTAAAAATTACTCAATAGTGGTCGTTCAATAGTCTACGACACTGCAAGGTACCTAGTTTAATTCTGGTCATCTTTAAATGAAAAAGTTGGAGTCTTTGTTGCGTGTAATTCCCCTTTCTATCCCGATACTTACTGTCCCCCCAAAAATACTTTAATCCAAAATGTATCTTTTTGCAGCTTTAAAGCTCAAAATCTGGCTGCTTTGTATTTCCAATTGGCAAAATGTTCATAAAATAATGATACAAATGATTACTTTCCCTTTAGTATGGACAAACACAGATCTTTAATATGTCATAAAGTGAACTAACTCATGATAAAATCTGCTGTATTCCTTTAAACGCACTGCTGTTTTGCTCATTTAAGGCATTTTTAATTTCAGTTTTGAGGAGAAAAAAAATGAGCGACTGAAACGAAAGCAACAGGAATTCACAGACAGATAATCAGATATCAACCTCCAGGTGTGTAAACAGCCAGGGCAGACAAACATTAGATCGGATAAAGGCTAACTGGCCATTTTGTGTGTTGGAGGAGTAACTATTTGTGTTATTATGGGTAATGATAGGCTTCTAACTAAAACCCTGTGGAGACAGTGGGAGTGACCTTGTCTGTCGTGGCACAGCTTGAGCTCCCGAGAGTTATAAATGCTCGTACTGTATCTCGTTCCTCTCTGCTCGAGGTGAGATGACCATGTAATGAAAAATAATATATTTCACACTATGAGATAACAGCCTGAAGGGAGGCGTTTTCTAGTTGGCTGGATGTATTTGTGCCTTTGCCACTGCCCGTATGACCTTGTATTAAAGTGTACTTACATAGCCTTTCTTCCACTCCAGTGTTATTAGTTGCTTTTGCCAAAAAGCTATAATGCATATTTTTATATCAACAATGTATGGAAAAGAAGTCGCTTATAGCGATGAGTAATCTTTACACATAAACTTAATCCAGAAACAAGCTTGCAGCACTTCTGTGATCTATGTTTTTATTATATTATATTGCATTGTAGTGTTTTGTAGTACTTGTTGAAGCACTGACATTAGGCACTAATTTGTTATAACCTGCCCAGGGAATATGGATATTGGGCTATCTCCGTTGAAGCAGTGTGCATTAATGTGCATTGTCTGTGGTAGGTAAATACATAAATCCTCAGACAATCATCACTGGGCTTCATAACAAATCTCAGCTCTTTGTTTTGGTTTTCCAAGCCGCAACCTTTCTGTTTTGGTTCACTCTCACCACATTGTTTTTAGCCGCAGCAGGCAGCTGTTTACAGGGAAGAAAAGCCCTAAAACCCACTGTATACTACCTGCTCAGCACCAAACAGCAAACAGACGCAGTTAGGGACCAGCTGGTGAACATAAAGGAGCATTTAGCTGCTAAAGAGACAGATATTGCCCTCAGGAGTCGGACCAAAACAGAGCAAAAATAAGAGTGAATGATGGAAAACACAACTTCAAATAAATGATAATGTTGCTCAATAGCTGCTGAATGTGTCAATAGATAACTGTTCCCCATATGATGATAACAATATGTCAGTATTGTGTTTATGGCTTGTTTCCACTGTAGCCATAAAAAATTATATAGTTTAAAGCAAAAGCTCAACATTTTGGGAGTTTGCTTGTTCACTTTGTTGCAGAGAGTTACATTAGAAGATTGAAACAACTCTCATGTCTGTTTGTTAAATGTGAAGCAACAGCCAGCTTAGCATAAAGACTGGAAACAAGGGGAAACAGCTGGCCTGGCTCTGTTCACTGGAAAACAAAATCCACCGACCAGCACCTCTAAAGCTCAGTAATTCACTTTTAATTATTATTCTTGTTTGTTTAATCCACACAGAAACAATGTGTGTATGAACTACAGTTTTTAGCATTTCATTCACTGTAGTTTTTCCTACAAGTTTAGAACGGGAAGGATAGACAAGGAGGTTGTAAGCTTCAACGACACCGCTAGATGGCACTAAATCTGACATACTGGTCCTTTTTAATGTGAGTGATCAAGATATGGTCCAACAAATAACCCCATGTAAAACGTATATTATATATCAGGTTGCAAACTACACATAAAAAACGTCTTTTTACCTGAGACATGCTTTTTACCAATATATGAATAGAATTTGTCTTCAAAAGACGACAACTCCCGTAACAGAGTGTTGGATTCTCCTAACTCCTCTCGTCTTTTGATGAACTTCTGTTTTGTTTCTGTGTGCAAAAGCACAACAGTAACAGCTCATCAGTAACTTCATCCATTTTCCTGTTAAGCTGCCGACACAGCTGGAGCGCACAGCGTGTGTTGGGACCGCAGTTTACTCAACGGTATTACTCACCAGCGTGGATGCTCACATTGTTATTGTTATAGTTATTGTTCTTGGTGTGGACGTCCCCTTTACTGTGCTAGCTGTCCTCCCCTCCAAACTGGTTGTAGCTTTATATTAAACAGATGTTTCATGTTTTCTAGAAATATCAGTTTATTCCTTTTTTAATGTTTGCTTGATAAATCTGGCTGGTGTTGTTATTGAAAGCAGCACCAGAAGGAGACATAGTACGACGAGGATCATGAAGTCATGCGTGCTCTGGTTTCCCCATCGCAGACAGAGATGCACCCACAAACACTCGCCCCTAATTACATAGAGTTGTAAGAGGAGGAACTGCTGAAGCCAGCGTTTCCTCTCTCTCAGACTGTGTTTTTTTTTGTCTTAAGATGCAGGAACTTGAGCTGTGGGAAAGACAGTTAACTTTCTGCCGACTGGGGCATCTTTTAAAGTGATTCATCCTCTCTCCAGTTTGAAGGGTTAATAGTGGGAAGAGTTCAGTGAAACGTGAGTCAGTCCCGTCTGCGAGGACATACTGTAAAGACTTCAACATGTTGAGAGTTGCTCTGCAGACAGATAGTGCTGAGGAGGACGCGGCTTCAGCAGATCTGCAAGCTTAACTTGAAATATCTTCTTGTTTAGACTGGTGCCGCTCGTGCGTGAAACATAAACTCTGATTTTTATCAGCTTTACCTGTGAATCTGACCTTTCATCCATTATATTTATATTGATGCATCAGGAGCTGGGTGTTGTTGTTGTTTTCCTGCATGTATAATCTTGTTATGTCTGAATTTTCTGTGACGTGTCCGTCATTGTGAAAGCTTTTATCGCCGTCTCGTTTGTTTACAGGCAAGGCCGAGGCTGGCGGGCGCATGCATGTGACCCTGTGTGATTACATCATGCTCTGGGACTCATTGAGCAACACCCAGAAGAAGGGCCTTAGCCAGCGCTACCAGATGGGCTGTGAATGCAAGGTAAGGCAGTGGAGGACAAAACCAGACATAACAGACCAAATGAGATGAGACACGAGCCACAACAACAAACATCAAAGCAATGAATTAGGAAAGAGAGATATGGATTAGTTGATTTATTAATCAACTTAGAGAGGAATTTTACATTTTTCCCCCTGTTTTCTATCATTGATTGTTGTTTTTACACTTCAGTTTTTCTATGAATTAAATAAAAACGATATACGATGTTAATTATTGAGCTTTCGTAACTTTTTAACAATTGGATGGAGCCATGTTCCAAGTCTTTATGCTAAGATAACAGTCTTCTGGCTTTAGCTTTTAATACTTCAACAACAATTAACTTCTTCTGTCTTCAGTCCTGGTTGGTTCAGCAACACCAAGTGCGGTTTAATAAACAAGCAAACACCTTAAGCAGCTACTTTGTTTACAGTAGAGCAACTGGTGGATCTGTTTACTGTGCAGCCAAACAAAGTTGTGTTGTTTTGATAAAGAAGTCAGTCAGTTTCCATAATACCATGATTTCATGCTGCACGCGGCAGAAGTAGTTTTCCACACAACAGCAGGAAACAGTAAAGCTGATTAGCTTGTTGAGCTCTTCATATAACAGTTCCCTGTAGCTGCTGCCTCTTGTTCCATTACTCTCACATTTTAAAGCATGCCAAAAATGACCGTTGTCTTGTCTTGCAGACGTATGTTTGATGAACTGTAACTGTAAACTATAAAAGCTGTAACAGCAATAAAAGCCATCGTGTGCTTCGGCAGTCAAACGCTGTTTTGAATGTGAAGCAGCAGCAGTAGGTTGTTCCAGTTAACATGAGCAGTAACTTAATGCAAAATAAACAGTAAACAGTGAGGCTGATATTAATGAGGTCAAATCACGTGGATTACATGCTTAATCGTGGTTAGGTAGGCAGCTGAATCCAGGGTGCAAATGGCGACTCCATTTACTTACAACATCCACCATGAATATGATCAAAAATGGGGTTTTATTTCATGAAAAGCTTGAGGATTAGCTTTTAAAATAAGGTATCTAAACATGTTTTTGGTATTTGTACCAAAACTCGGTTATCGTATCGACACTAATAATGATACATTTTGAATATTCAGCCCTATCTGTGACCTAGTCATGACTTGACTTTACGTGACTGAGCAGATTATGCATACAGTATAGAGACATTGTTTTGTGTGCCTCTCTGCAGATTGTGCGCTGTCCCTCTTTGCCCTGTGAGATCTCCGCTCCGGAGGAGTGTCTGTGGACGGACCTGATGATTGAGAAGCAGGTCCACGGACGCCAGGCCAACCACTACGCCTGCATCAAGAGGGCAGACAACTCCTGCTCCTGGTACCGCGGCGTCGCATCGCCCAAGAAGGAGTTCCTGGATGGCGAGGAGCCTTAGTCACGTGGCACACCTGATTGCCCACTGCACAGCCTGGTGAAAATAAATGTAAACAATTCCATTGAAATTTAAGATAATGACATCAGGCAAAGTTATTTTTGATTTTAAAAAAAATAAAGGCAAAGCTAATGTGACTAAAATTAACCTGCTGGTCTGAAAACAATCTTCAGCCTCTGTTGTTGTTTGTTGTCGGTAAGCGTTTCAGTCAGAGAAAGCTTTCAACCTCAGCATTGCTCGACATTAACTGATTCTGAAGAGGCTCAGAGGTTGTTCTCAGACACAGCGTCTGTAAAAACTAATAAAATGGCATCATGAGACATAGACTGGTCAAGTGATGATGTAACTTCCTCCTGAGGCTGGCGTCAGGAGGATATAAATCCTCGGTGAGACAGAGCACTTCCTGCCCCACAAAGCTCTTTAACAGCTCTGCTCTCCGACTGCACCAATCAACCCCCCGATCTACGGACGATCATTCGTTACCCATCGTGTTTCTACTTTTATTACCTCATTCTCCATTTTCTTCCAAAGTCAAATTCCAAGTTGCCTTTTTTTAAATGATTGTCTCCCTCTCTCCGAAACACTATTAGTTACTGCTTCTCTCATCTTCTCTGCTGGGAGCTGTTTGGCCACTGGTGATGTCGGACGCTCACAACACGCTTTAACTTTCCTTTTAAAAAGAACATGAGTCATCTCGCATGACCGATCTCTTCTGGTTTTGTTAGGTTCAAAATCTTTTTCTTGTGGCGATTTTAACTGAAGCCTGTGACCGTCGCAGGCCTCACTGGACCAGTCTATGCTGTGTAAAGATGAGCGCTCTAAATTTAAAACCTGCTCGTGAGGTAAAAAAAACAACAACACAGAAACAAATCAAGAAACGTCCCAAATTTCTTCCTCATCTCATCTTCATCTCTCTCCCTTGTTATCCCCACTATGTAGCTGTACAGTACCTATGCATATACTTTTGTTGTTACTTGATGATTATTATTTACTGCATTAGAACTAGATTTGCACTTTTTGAGGATGAGTTACAGTAAAGACAAGAGCCTGAACACTCTGATGTGACAGTTATTATCGTTCGCCCAGACCGACAGATCCACCTCAGGTGCAGATAGATTTTGCCTATTTTGAGTGCTTTTGGTGGTCCATATTCACAAAATGAAAGCTTATTCTTGCTATCTTTTGTCATAACAGATAAAATAGTACTCGCAACGAAAGGAGAAAAAAAAGTGGCGTGTGAGAGGTTTTGGATAAAAGGGATCTTTTATGTGTGAAAGGGAAACAAAAAGAGCTTGTGGGATGTTATTTCAGTGTCTTTGTATTATCTGTTGATTGTAAATGCCAACAGCAGTTTCATGATTTGCCAATATATTCTCGCAGATGGTTCATTTCATGAGTAATAAGGTCTTTTACATGCTTAACGTTAGCTTTGACTCGTCTTTCTTCTTCCAGTTATTAATGAAAGCTTTATCGCTGTCATAGAAAGCAAGTTACTCAATCAAGGTTTACAGTGCTGTTTTATACACCTCAAACTGCATTAACAAAAAAATATATATATGATGGAGTATTAGAGGCATAATTTAAAAGTAAACTCTTTCCATTTTCCATTACTTTGTATTTTTTCAGTGTTATTATTATACCTGTCATGATTTTTGTGTGTTTTCGCTGTCTTTGTCTACGATGTCTTTAGCTGTAGTGTCGAGTTGAGAAGGTCCTCTTGCGCTGGAGTAACGTGAGAGTGAGAGAGATTAATCCTTTTTGGAGAGGTGTAGAGAAATGAGAAATGGGTACCTTGTGTGAATAGAGGACTGTGCATGTTTTTGATGCTTTGTGTAAGTCCGGGCGAAGGACAAAATATTCAGTATTATCAAATAAAAAACACACGTTTGAAAGAATAAACGCTGCGTCTGTGAGTCATTTGGCCGGTGAAGGCTGTTGTAGATCCCCAAAGTGTTAAAAAAATTACTTAATACATACAGTAAAGCATTATTAAATAAATAATCATATGTTAATGCAGACAAGATACATAATATCACCACAAACTTTACAGTTTGTCATTTTTATCCATGCTTGCTGTATATGGAGGGCCGAAACCACCAACATCAAAAAGAAAATGACCCAATAAATAAATAAAATGCCCTTTAAATGCAACAAAAATATTGTAATAATGAAGCAGAAATGCATACAGAAAAATATAAAGACAGAAATAATTAGTGAAATCCTTAAATATAGGTCTACTGTGTATATTTTTTAAGTTTTCTTACACTCCTTAAAAGCAAGAAGGCCTCACCACCTGCCACGAAGCTTTGGCGACCCCTAGTGCAGGAATGGGAAAGTTATTACACTTCAGTAAACTCTTGCAAAAAGAAACTGTATAAAATAACATTTAATAATAATTAAAGCTGAGTTGTGAATTATTGGATTGTTGTATGTATTCATTATTAATTGGTAAATGACCTATGACCCTTTTGCTGTGTGTCATCCCCTCTTTTTCCCCCCTGTTCCTGCCCATCTCTCAAGCTATCCTCTCAAGAAAATATATATATAAATAAAATTTCCCTGCCCCCAAAAGTCCACACATCACATAAAATTTTCAAAATGTAACCTCCAAACATTTGTAATATTTGGTATGTTAAGCACTCAAACTTGGCCTTCATTTGGCTGCTGTTAATTCCCCAGTGAGGCTGTCAGCGTGAGGGACGTAATGAGAGCAGAGTGGAGAGGCTGTGTTGGGAGAAGGACGGACAAATACGCTTAAGTAGATGTGGTAATCGACTCAACTAGGAAAATATGTGAGAAATGTTCAGGCAGAGCCCAGACCGAGCGGTTTTGTCATCTCTGTTCATTCTCTCCTCAATAATGTCAAACAGGATTGTAATAATCATCCGCTGTCAGAGGGGATTTCTTCACGGAGCTTTTATTGGGAGGCCAGGTCAATGTTTTGAAGGGAGGGTGTGAATTTAATTATAAGTACATGTAGGTGATGCAAGGTGTGCATGACATGTCACTTCTCTTAAATCTATAAAGTAACTTCCTTTGTGTTTGAAATCAGTTGGGTAACCTCTTCGTGTACGTGAGGGATGTGGGGTTGTTGCTGCAACCTCTGCTTTGCAACCCTGAGAGGACAGGAAGAGAGACAGAATTAATACTGGGGGAGTTCTCGTCCAAAACAAGCACATTTAAATGAGAACAAAAGAATTATGAATCAAAGAAAGACTAAATACTTTTACATGTTGTTGACCCGAGGCACCCTTTCTGGCCCACCTCCTCCCACTTATAAATATTTTACTTCTTACCCATTGTTATTTTTCTGATGAATCAAAGGATAAGCTGATTATGTTGCATTTTTTTTGGGGTGGAAAAACACTTTCAGGAAGCAACGCCACGGCTGTTGTTCTGTATATTTAACACCTTTAAATATCCAATGTCCGAGAGTCTCTAAAGAAACATAACTCATGTTTAAGAGTATTTAAATTTTTAGCTACTTAATACCGCTTCTAAACGTAGTTACTAGTTACTTTCAGATTAAAATTTTACATAGGAAACCAATCAGTTGGACGCCCTTGCAGAGCAAACACTGAAGTTCTTGCTGCTGTCTCCCCCATTTCCTGTCTATCTCAAGCTGTCACTGTCAAAATAAAGGCAAAAAAAGAGTTTCTAAAATTATACTGTACATTTTAAGAGACTGAGAGAGAGAACATGAGTCATCTTGCATGGCCAATCTTTTCTGGTTTTGTTCATTAAAATGAATAAAATTAGGTCTTAAGTGGCTACAACAATAATATTAATGTTACAGTGATAATAATCATATAAATATAGTCTAGCATTGACAGTGACAGTAAGGGAGAATATTATTATTATTATTATGTAATTTCTCTGTAACTATAATATCACATGATTCCACTCATAAACCAGGATGCAGCTGATTTTATGATGAAATAAAGTCATATTAATTACATCAATGATTTATAAATTTGCATTAGTTTGGGTCCAATAAATCTGCAGGTACTTAAATAATTCACACATTTCCACATGAACACTGTCCCTTGTAGTTGTGATGCCACCCAGTGGCCACCAGGGGACACAGCAGCCTCTTCGTGCTCCACTGAAGACTTCAATAAATCCTTTCACACAGGAGGGTAGGGGAATAGTATTTATGTAGCTTATATAATGTGTTTTAAATTAAAATACATATACAGCAACAAGTAGGAACAAGCAGAGAAATATCACATATATTTAAAATAAAACACCATCTGCCTACTGACAAACTCCACATCCCATAGACAGACATGCATAAATACACACACTAATAATCATACGCCTGATAAGCAAATAAAAGCACAAAAAGAAACCTCTAACACATTACTAATGAGGTTGTGAAAATACTGTATCATCCATATTATCATGTTAACAGACGATTGAATGAGGAGCAGCTGTCTGAGGAAGAACCGCCCCAGAATTGTTTGAGGTTATCAGATAAACAAGTTCAACTTTTAACTGACTGTTGCAACCATCGTTCATCAACATCACATCACTGAAAGCATTTACACAATAAGGGTCAAAAGTTTAAATGTACAGACAAACAAACTGAATCATTTAGTTTTTTTTCGTCAGAGCAGTTTCTCTGAATCAGATCTGGATTTCTTCTTTTATGTTCTTCAATCTAATGTGTTGAACTGAATTATTCCCAAAACATCTCTCTCTCTCTCTCTCTCTCTCTCTCTCTCTCTCTCTCTCTCTCTCTCTCTCTCTCTCTCTCTCTCTCTGCAGTATACGGGTCCATCTTTCTTCTTTTACAAGGTCCTTTGCCTGCAGTCCATTTCTGTCTCATCTATGAAAGATGACTGATCTGTTGCAGAAAACACTTTGGATGTTTCAAAGACCTTTTCAGTGATGATAGATTTCCCTCTTTTGTTAAAATCGTCTGGGGTGTTTTACCTGACAAAGGCTACTCAGGTCGGGTCACTGCTGCCTTTAAATGCACCTGAAACACTCATCTTCTGTAAGTGTTTGTCAATTTAGTCTCTAGAGATAGACATATCTAAAGATCTCAAATCTCAAATCTATCCTGACCCAAGTTGTCATAACTCTTACAGTCATACTGGCCTGATTGATTCATACTAGAAAAACGTTTTGACATTTCAAACCCTTGAAAGCACCTAAACATAAAGCTCTGTTATTTTCTACATGTGCAGTTTAACTGAAGTGAGAGGAAGCTGCACCCCTACACACTTTCTAAATGGGTTAGGGAAATAATATCTGTCTGTGAATTGCTGTTTCATTTCATTTTAAGATCGCTGAGAAAAAATAGAAGTGCAGGTAGCAGCTCAGAGGTCTGGAAGTCAGGCTATCATGTTAAAATTCAGATCATTTTTATCATTCTTTTAGAGTTTATGTAATGTTTTTGACCTTGTCTTTTAGCTCTGAATTCCTCTCTCCAGACTCCATCGCAGACTGTTATCTAATTCATTTAAACAAAGGTAGAAGCTGAAGCTGGCATTGATATTTGAGGTTAGGAGAGAAATGTTTCAATTATTAGATGGATCGCTGTGGATTTTGGTACATTCATGGTCCCTCTCGGGATGAATTGTAATCATTGACGGTATATAATCAGTGGACAGAGCTTCCAGGTCTGTGAAGTAAACCTGGTAAAAAGATGTAATCGGATTACAGTTACGTTTAGTAACAGTGGGGATTATTAGCAGGATTAAAGTTTTAAAATACATGTTTCTCTTTAAAAATACACTTTCTTATGCTAAAAATGTTGGTTTCCAAGGTTACATTCTTCTGTTGTCAATACTTCTCATTGATTTTGTGTTTTTCTGCATATTTTGTGTTGAGGTAATCAAAAAGTAATGAAAAATAATTATATTACTTTATAAAAGGGAATTAGTAATTGTATCAGATTCCATTTTTAAAGTAACCCTCCCAACCCTGATGATTGTCCGATATAAAGCTAGAAAATTTGGGAATTTTGGAAAAGCCTACTTCAGATTTAATGCTAATGTTAGCATCGTCACTTTGAGCGCGTTAGCATGCTGATGTTAATATTTAGCTAGCTCAGAGCACTGCTGCGACCACGTACCGAGATGTTGCGTACAAAATACATATAACAATAAAACTTCAATTAATAGCTTGAGCTTTTATTTTCTTCAGTCACTTAACTCAACCTGCCTCTATATGGGACAGGCCTCTATATGGGACAGGCCTTTATATGGGACAGGCCTCTATATGGGACAGGCCTTTAATTCCCTTTGTACAAAACTCTTGCTCAGCAAAGTTGAGAAATACTATCAAACTTTATTTAAACCAGTTTGAATATTACTTGCATGGAAATTAGGCTAACATCAATTCCGATCTAATCTATTGACAGCATCTTTCAAGAGGTTTTATACATCCAAAGAATTTCTATAAAATCCAGACCAGGCCTCTAATTGAGACCTGCCTTTATTTGTCAAAATGTGTAGCCAGGCTAGTAAAGGAGACCATCTTCTAATTGGGCCCCTGCTTTTAATTAGTTTTACGGTGAGTATTTTTTTAAAGGGCAGTGGGGTGTCATAAACAAACAAACAAACAAACAAACAAACAAACAAACAAAAACAGCCCCTATGAGCTCTTTAAGTGTTGTTTCTTCCCTACGAGGAGGATGAAAGATGGCTGTGGCGCTTTCCTGCTCTCTCACATGCTGGCCTGTTTTTCGTTGTCACGGCAACCTGATGCATTTAAGAGAGGAGTCAAGGACAGCTGCGCTCGGAGGAAGTGAAGTTCAGGTGAGTGTTTCTAAGAATGGAGGCAATTTAATTATTTTTTCCAATCAGGAGACTCACAAAAAGTAAAGATGTCAGTAATTATTTGATCATGTTTCATACTTTTTTCTTTTGGCTACTTGGGTTTCAGTA